ATGGTGAACCTGGGAACACCAGCAATCAAGAGGCGTTTCCCCGCTCCTCAAAACCTGATCAGGGACCTTGCTGCTGGATGTGGTTTATCAGCTGATTTCATTTCATATCAATCCTTGTCGAACCTCTTGCTAGGCCCATATCTTATGGCTGTTAGATAGGTTGCAAAAAAAAAAATAAACAAGATGAAAATAGAAGAAAAGGATTTTAAGAGAAATCTTCAATCCGACGCACTCTTGGCTTGCTGTTGTATAGAATCCACGCATGTTTTAGTTCTCTCTGTCTCAGAAGAGTTTTAGCCAACTTTTAGCCAACTTAATGGAGTCTCATCAAGTAAATATTAGGTTGTTTGTTTTACTTTACCTTGTTTTACGGCATATCAACACCTCAATGGGTTCTTTAATGTCGACAAGATTTTTAGGATAGATTCGTATGAATAAAATATGCATTCTTTGTAAGAAACCAGTTTGAAGATCAGGTTTCATTGACGTATTTTTGTAAAGAGGGTTTTTGTCGAGAGTCAAATGCATTTTTGGTAATATTTTTTTTTGTTTTTTCAAAAGTTTGTGGCTGGTAATTTTTTTTAATGTATTGCTGGTATTTTTACTATAAAATTCTATTTTTATGCATTCATCCATGCGGTTAACTACTTGCCCATAGCTTGAACCCTAACAGGTGCTACCACGCCGGGTCAGGGTGGACTTGGGAACAATAGAAATTCAGAGATGGCTCTACGTTCCTCAAAACCTCCCGAACTAGTTGCCGGATGTAGTTTATCGTCATACAGAGGTTGTTCGATTTTAAACTCAGTTTTTTGGGGTTTTTTTTGTAATTCCTGAATGAATGTATTTAAATGGGTGTCTAGATCAATTAAATATGGCTGAGGTTTCTGCTTTCAGACCATGTGATCTGGGTTTGAATCTCACCATGGTCGATATGTCAGGAAGGTAAGTTCTTGTTTTTCGACAGCGTGCGCCACCTTTTAAATGTCCCAACCAGACCCAAGACTTGCGAGTGACATTCTGTAGACTGAACTCGTCAGTTTTTGTGCTAGCACGTAGTCACAAGTCATCGTGACCGAGGGTTTGAGCGTTCTGGCTTAGTTCAGATTGTACATCACGATAGATAACGCGCTCTCTCCCTGAAATTAAGGTCCGATCAGTCTAGTTGAAATATAAACCATGGGTGGGCTCTGTGAATGTTGAATAAGCATATATGTGACTGAGTAGGCGTCTGCAAATGGAATTGGTTCGCCCTAGTAGACGAGCATCATCGGATATGAATGGCCAGGAATATTGACCATCTATACAATTCTGCCATCGAGTTAAAAGTTTGTGTATGCCTTTACGCCAAAGCCCTAAATTTAAATTTAGTTTCTGCATCTTCTTCGGAATGTCTTTTGGCTTAAACATTGTCAAGTGGATTTGACAAAGTTTTTTATCCTATGCCTGTGAACTTCTGCATTTTCATGAAGCAGAATTGGTCGGCGTCGATTAACCAGTGCCTATCGTATTTTGCTTAACCGAATGGGCATTTCATTCATTTACTGGCAGAAGACGTCGGCAGTGATGTTCTGGTTAGATCTCGAAAGCAATAACGAATAACATCAATGACGGTCCACCAGGCAGAGTCACTATAATCTTCTTTTCGTGTAATTGGAAAGTGTTTATTTGAAGATACAGCCATTAAGTTAATCTTTTATGTTTTTTTTTTATAAAAGCTCCATTTTTCATCACAAGTCACTATTCGATCAAGAGAAAGGACCATTCCTATTTCGCAGATGCAGCATGGAACACACTTCACAGTATCGAATTCTTTGACTTTCACTCAGATTATGTGGATTCAATTAATCGAGATTCTTCACTTTGCTATTTTCCTTGGGATGGTCCTACATTGTTGAAATGGTGGAATCCATTGTCTAAGATATTTCTCTGACACGTTGACATGAGTTTTTTCGAATAGTGTTTTCAGATGTTGATTATATATTGCATATAGACATCCCCTACCACCTTGAACTTCAAGACACGTATCCCAACTGACAAACTTCGTATTATTTACTCCATTCTGTTTTAATGTTGACAGATGTTTTGGAATCATTATGACAAAACTTGAAGTTATGTAAAAATAAATAAATAAACGCATTGTTGTTTTTTTCATGTTCAAGATGAGGGATATAAAATGTTTTGAATTAAATTCTAAGAGAGATTGATATAAAATTAACAATATGGAAATTTCAGTCATTAGAAATGAGTAATATATTTTTTGTGCAGCACTTATAATATATTAAAACTGATTAAAATGTTTATTCTTAAATCGGCCATTATTTTCCGAATAGACTAATAATAAAAGGAGTATAATTACTTTGAAAATAAATATTCTAGATAAGTATGTCAGTAATATATCATGCTAAAACAATTCTGACTACAGATTCGGAATGAACTTATTCGATTTTGTCCGTCTAGGAGATAAAATGATGCTATTACCTAGCGTAATGTAAAACAACGTCTCTATAAGTACGAACATGCGCATAACGAGCAATATTGACGTGTTAAAATATTTCAGAAGACATAAACTGAATATATGCTATCATTTAGATTTATACTAATGCATTTACACTGGTAGAAAAAACTGTGCACAAGAGTTATTGTATATTTAAATTAAACTTCAAACTTTTCTTTACATACTTAAAATCGTATATTTTACACATTTCTTCTGAAGAATAAATAAATCCTTTTGACATATTTTTATTATCCTTTTTTTATTTTTTTATTTTATCTTTATTTATTTATTTATTTGTAATCTAACTAAAATTCCGAAGGAAAGAGAAATACTGTGAAAATTACAAAGATATGAAATATTGTGACAGTCTGGATGGAACCGGCAAGCTGTCGTTTGGAGACATCTGATTTAATGCTATATTTCCATCAAAGAAAATGCAAAATTGACAAGTGTCAAAGTGTGTCCTGAAATAAAACGAAAATGAGAATCGAACCGAAAGAAGTTCTGACATTTCTGCCCAAAATATTAAAGATCTTTCAAAAGTAAACATGACATTTTTGAATCTCTATAGAAAGAAATGCTGATTAGTTCTCTGTCCGACCAAAAATGAATTTATTTTTGCGTCGATATGTTGTTGTGATTGTCCTTCACTGACCTAAAAACAAGCGAATACTTTCAATAATACAAAAGACAGCCGAGAAAGGCCGGAGATTACACAGCCGAATCTTCGTGGAAAGCAACGAATAAATTAGTCCGAATAAAAAAGCATACCCTGATTAAAACACACCGCCTAAAATAATGAGGGCTAAAAAGTAACTCCGTTTAATGACGGCTGAATAAATCTACATAAATATGTTTCTTTTCAGATTTGTAAGCAAGAATTAATTTAATAAAACAAAATTTCATTGAAATATGCATTTATATCCACTGATAATCGAAAAATAAGTGTCAAGTGATGGAAGGATCTATATACAGTTGACATACATCTGTATCATTATGATATCGAAGGGACAAATTTACATGAAATAATTTTGATTGGCACCAGATATGGAATACTTTTCTCTTTGGATGTCTTTTTTGATTCTGAAATGCATCGACCCTTATTCTTAGGAGTCACAGGCATCAGTTCTCATGCACGTTACAATTTTGTATCGTAAGCTTAACTTTTTCTAACATCTTAACATTCGGTAATCTATATATAAAATTCTATGATTTCTGTTAGTCCGTCAGTACATCACACCCTATAAATAGTCATACATTGTCTGATCAAAACCAAATAAAATAAGGGGGTACAAATTACAGTTGGTTTTACTAGGGTGCGTAGCTGAATACAATAAATTTTCATTCATTTTTGTGGAAAAATTAACTTTTATTATTTAACAAAAAAAATACTCCCACTAAGTTAAAAACAAATTAGTGATTGAAATAACAATTACGTATTTAATAAAAATGCAATATTGTTTTTTTGCATATATTTTCTTTATGTTTGTATGTACAAGTATCCAGTTTCCTGTTCGCTCTGCGTTTGATTTAATTATAACAAAATCACACAGCTAAATGCTTTAAAAGTTGGAATTTGGATCAGAAAACATATTTAACAGTTGAATGTTGCATGCTCAAGAGTAAGAAATCCTAAGAATTTATTCTTCGCTGTTAAAAAGGAAAAAAAGAAATTATATTAAAAATATTGTTTAGCATGAAGTCCTATGAAAATGAATTCAATTAAAGAAATTATTAAACATGACACACTGGATAAAAGTGTTGGTTGAAGCAATCCAGTGACTTGACCCAAAGAGTTGTGGGTTCAATACCTAGCCGCAGCTGTGGTGAACAAAACCTTGGAGAGTTGAGTTACTAAAGGAAATAACCGAAACTAAAGATATCCAGAAAAGGCATAGCATATGGAACTAGAAAACGTAACCCCGGTGGACGAAATAAGGTGTCCGCTTCGAAATTCCAACGTATATCACCTGAACAACACCGGGGCGTACAAAACGTAGTGAATATGGCAAATAAGATGAGGCCAACAGTCCGAACAATGTAAATAGTATAAGTAGTTACAGAACGCGAAGTATTTTTCCAAACAAATCTGCTTCGAATTTCATCGATTAGTTTCCGAAATTGAACGAAATATTGAGTTTGTAAATCTGGAGAAAAATGTTAGCGATGACTTCAATAATACTAAGTAATATGAGGATTTCAACAGACTTCGGCGTGTTGCCAAAATATTCTATTATTTCATAATGCAAGGAGGCCGAAGAGTATGCAACAGAAACAATTGTGCTATTGATAATCTAAACTAGTTTTCAAGCATTTCTGTAGGTGAAACAAAGTTGAGATATTTTTCTAATTGAATAAATAAAATTTATGATCCTGTTTTGTTTTTTCTTAATCTGCCTCTTCCAACCAAAAATAAATATTGTGACAATTACAAGAAAATGAAATATTGTGTCTATCTGAACGTTGATCTACGAGCCGCCGTTTGAAGTCACTTCATTTAAAGTTACATTTCTAGCAAAGATAATACAAAACTAAGAAATGTCACGCTGTCCCCAGAGATATAAGGAAAATGAGTGTCGAACGGAAAGTAATTTTGTCGGTTGTAACGAAAAGAATAAAGATTATTCAGATATTGTGAATCTGTATACAAGGAAACGAGAACAGTTCTCGGATCGATGACGATTTTAAAAAAATTGATTTTTGGTCACTTGATCAGACCCTGGGGAATTAACTTTTCACTTGCATCTTGTATACGATTTGAGCTTTACCAAACCTATCAGGCCCTAGTATCATTCATATCAAAGCATGTAAACCAAAACAGATTCTGAATTTATGCGACGCAGAGTCATCACTATTTACTCGATTTATATTCGGACTTTTGTCCTCATCTTTGTTGTTGTTATCACAACGTTTCGGCCGTTGTGGTTTCCGACCTTCTTCAGGTGTTAAATCGATCTGGGTGACTTACAGGAAATGAATACTTTAGTTAATCTACGGTAGTAGACTGTTCTCGCTTTCTCTGACCAGGTTGGGGGATATTTAATACTATTCAATCATTCCTCAACCGTTTCCGCTGAGTGCAAGTATACACTGCCAGATCCAGGGACTGAACTCACAACGTCTACGTCAGCAAATTTATAAACCAGCGTTTTTTAACGTCTCGTAGGATAATTTGCTTTAAGTGAACCTTCCTGTTGCAATGGCTGCTGCTGTCTGTCTGTCATATTTTGACTCTTGCTGCTACCCAGACTTTGAATATTTTACATAGATAATATAAAGACATAGAACACCACCGTATCAATAATTTTTATTTTGCTTTTTTGGACTAATTATCTACGAGGAAAACATTATAAATTTTAGTAATTTTCTCTCCCTTGTTAAATATAAAATTGTTTTTTTTTTCTGTCTTTATTTCTCGGAAGAGGCCTTATCATTATTTATATTCGAAATAATGTCCTCATCGTTTATGTTATTCTCCGGCTTTCATCAAATGTCTGCCAATTCAGCTAACCGTCAACGAATTGTAGAACAAAAGTATTTATTTAATCCACCATGGTGTTTTCTTCTCGGTTCGCTGTTCAAGGTCATCTGGTCTTTCCATTTTCACTACAACTCAGTGCTAACCAGCTCAGAGATTGAACTCGTAATAACGATACCAACAAGTTCACAAACAATCGCTTATATTGACTAGGCTATTTTCACGAAGATTAAAATAGGATTCCGTTCGAAATTTCCTGTAGGTTACTCGAATCAACACACACCTGAAGAAGATCGGATAGTACAACGACTGAAGCCTTTGGATGATAGGCAACAAAGACAAAGGGATTAGTCGAAATGTAAATAAGATAAATAAAAATGTTTTAACGCTACGTCCTTCAAGTGGGGGGGGCAAATGATCATGAAATTCAAAAGTTACCGTTTCCATTTAACATATGTTAATTTCTATGAATCTTGGGACATCTGCCTATCATACACAATTACTTTTTATGTCAAATTTGTTAATTTTATGAGTTGAAATATTACCATTGTAATATATTTAATGAATTTGCCACCGTTTTAATATATATATTTATATATATATGCGAATTTCCATGTTTTTGCTGTGAAATTCATCGATTGCTTGATTCATATATAATAAATATTTGACATATTTATAGAGCACAAATCATAAATACACGTAGAGTTTGATTAAAATATATAAAAATGAACACATTTCACTGAGATCTAATTTTTAAAAAAAACTAGAAAAGATACAACGGGATACTGCCGTGACCAGGATTCGAACCTGGGTTACCACGGCCACAACGTGGGGTCCTAACCACTAGACGATCACGGCTACAGACATAAGACATGCCTTTTTATCATTTTAATTTTAGTTGTATAGCTATATTTAAATTCTCAATATTCGATTCGTGAGATAATGTCGCTCTAAGTTACATAGATATTTAGATATTAAAATAAGTATTATTTCAATAGATTAACTTGTATTATAATTTATATTTAATTGTAATTTTTTAAAATTAAATGTGATTGAAGTGACATATATGCTGCATTTTTCTTCAGTATCATATTATGATAATCTGCGTCCAATAAAATATAATATTCATGTCAATTTTTTGATAATGTCGAAACATTGAAAGTATTTCAATATAACAATAACCTATGAAATCTCAATCGATTACATACATATATGTATATAAATATTTTTGCGTGTCTTTTACTGCCGATTATATATACATCGACATATTTACTAACATTTGACAGATTATTCTTTACCTCAAATCATAACCCGATGTCGTTAATGATACTGCTGTTTTAAAATTTATTTCACAAATCTTAAAAAGAAAAACGAAATATTTACCTATGCGTAATGCCGTGACCAGGATTCGAACCTGGGTTACCACGGCCACAACGTGGGGTCCTAACCACTAGACGATCACGGCTACAGACATAAGACATGCCTTTTTATCATTTTAATTTTAGTTGTATAGCTATATGGAAATTCTCAATATTCGATTCGTGAGATAATGTCGCTCTAAATTACATAGATATTTAGATATTAAAATAAGTATTATTTCAATAGATTAACTTGCATTTTAATTTATATTTAATTGTAATTTTTAACATTAAATGTGATTGAAGTGACATATATGCTGCATTTTTCTTCAGTATCATATTATGATAATCTGCGTCCAATAATAATATATAATATTCATGTCAATTTTTTGATAATGTCGAAACATTTAAAGTATTTCCATATAACAATAACCTATGAAATCTCAATCGATTACATACATATATGTATATAAATAATTGTGCGTGTCTTTTACTGCCGATTATATATACATCGACATATTTACTAACAAATGACAGATTATTCTTTACCTCAAATCATAACACGATGTAGTTAATGATACTGCTGTTTTAAAATTTATTTCACAAATCTTAAAAAGAAAAACGAAATATTTACCTATGCGTAATGCCGTGACCAGGATTCGAACCTGGGTTACCACGGCCACAACGTGGGGTCCTAACCACTAGACGATCACGGCAAGTTACACAGCTTATCAATGATATTTTTTTTTAATTTTACCTGAAAATTTTTCTAAGAAAACGAAGATATCATTCTATATGTCATAACGCTTCCGATTGAATACACAATGAGAAATCACAAGCTACATAATATACAACAGGTATTTCTGTAATATTTTCCATAATATTTGAAATTTATATATCGAAAATTATATTTATATATTTAGCAATATATACCGATTATTCATTATATTTTAACTTGCTTTACATCTGCCTATCATACACAATTAGTTTTTATGTCAAATTTGTTAATTTCGTGCGTTGAAATATTGCCATTGTAATATATTTAAAGAATTCGCCACCGTTTTAATATATATATTTATATATATATGCGAATTTCCATATATTTTGGTGTGAAATACATCGATTGCGTGATTCATATATAATAAATATTTGACATATTTATAGATCACAAAGCATAAATACACGTAGAGTATGATTAAAATATATAAAAATGAACACATTTCACTGAGATCTAATTTTTAAAAAAAAACTAGAAAAGATACGACGGGATACTGCCGTGACCAGGATTCGAACCTGGGTTACCACGGCCACAACGAGGGGTCCTAACCACTAGACGATCACGGCTACAGACATAAGACATGCCTTTTTATCATTTTAATTTTAGTTGTATAGCTATATTTAAATTCTCAATATTCGATTCGTGAGATAATGTCGCTCTAAATTACATAGATATTTAGATATTAAAATAAGTATTATTTCAATAGATTAACTTGCATTATAATTTATATTTAATTGTAATTTTTAAAATTAAATGTGATTGAAGTGACATATATGCTGCATTTTTCTTCAGTATCATATTATGATAATCTGCGTCCAATAATATATAATATTCATGTCAATTTTTTGATAATGTCGAAACATTGAAAGTATTTCCATATAACAATAACCTATGAAATCTCAATCGATTACATACATATATGTATATAAATATTTTTGCGTGTCTTTTACTGCCGATTATATATACATCGACATATTTACTAACATTTGACAGATTATTCTTTACCTCAAATCATAACCCGATGTCGTTAATGATACTGCTGTTTTAAAATTTATTTCACAAATCTTAAAAAGAAAAACGAAATATTTACCTATGCGTAATGCCGTGACCAGGATTCGAACCTGGGTTACCACGGCCACAACGTGGGGTCCTAACCACTAGACGATCACGGCAAGTTACACAGCTTATCAATTTTTTTTTTTTTTTAATTTTACCTGAAAATTTTTCTATGAAAACGAAGATATCATTCTATATGTCATAACGCTTCCGATTGAATACACAATGAGAAATCACAAGCTACATAATATACAACAGGTATTTCTGTAATATTTTCCATAATATTTGAAATTTATATATCGAAAATTATATTTATATATTTAGCAATATATACCGATTATTCATTATATTTTAACTTGCTTTACATCTGCCTATCATACACAATTACTTTTTATGTCAAATTTGTTAATTTTATGAGTTGAAATATTACCATTGTAATATATTTAATGAATTTGCCACCGTTTTAATATATATATTTATATATATATGCGAATTTCCATGTTTTTGCTGTGAACTTCATCGATTGCTTGATTCATATATAATAAATATTTGACATATTTATAGAGCACAAATCATAAATACACGTAGAGTTTGATTAAAATATATAAAAATGAACACATTTCACTGAGATCTAATTTTTAAAAAAAAAACTAGAAAAGATACAACGGGATACTGCCGTGACCAGGATTCGAACCTGGGTTACCACGGCCACAACGTGGGGTCCTAACCACTAGACGATCACGGCTACAGACATAAGACATGCCTTTTTATCATTTTAATTTTAGTTGTATAGCTATATTTAAATTCTCAATATTCGATTCGTGAGATAATGTCGCTCTAAATTACATAGATATTTAGATATTAAAATAAGTATTATTTCGGAGATGTCGATTGATATTATATTTGAATAGTTAGAGATTATAGCTATCAGGGAAACAAGTAATAGGGAAGGGAATTCCACAGACGAGAG